TGGTGCTGAGAATTGAGCCCAGGGTCTTGAATGCTAGGAAAGTGCCCTACCACCAAGCCACATCCTTAGCCCTACTCTTCTGGATTTTTTTTTTTTTGTTGTTGTTTTTGTTGGTTGTGGGGCTTGGACTCAGGGCCTAGGCACAGTCCCTGAGCTCTTTTGCTAAAGACTAGTGCTCTCCCACTTTGAGTCACAGCTCCACTTGCGGGTTTTGAGTGGTTAATTGGTGATAAGCATCTCACTGGGACTTTTTAAAGGCTATGGCTGGCTTCAAACCACAATCCTAAAGTGTGTCAGCCTCCTGAGTAGCTGGGATTACAGGTGTGAGCCACCAGTGCTCAGCTAATTTTCTTTTCCTCTTTATGGTACCGGGATTTGATTTCAGGCTCGAGCATGGCAGATGATCTACTGCTTGAACCACACACACAGACAGTGCTCAAGTTCTGTATATTAATCTGTTTTCCTATTTAAGTAGCTATTTCATAATGAGTTTATTCATAGAAACTGCATGTACTAAGAAGCAATCAGCATTTCAGTGTTATTGAGGTATGATTGTGCATCCAGTGTATGTGCATGTTTTAAGGAGGAAAGATACTTTCTATATTCTGAATACAGCTTTTCTCTTCTTTTGTATCAAGGATGAAGGAGGTTTGTAGAGAGATGTGTCTTCTTAGTACTATATTAAAATCAGTGATAGGTAGAATATGAGATACTTTGTATGATTTCTAGACTTAAACATTCTGTTTCTCCCCCTCCCAGGTTGAGACTGAACTAAAGTTAATCTGTTGTGACATTCTGGATGTACTGGACAAACACCTCATTCCAGCAGCTAACACTGGCGAGTCCAAGGTTTTCTATTATAAAATGTAGGTTCTATACTAGTAGGGAAAACAATGTAAGAGTAAAACTTGGCCTTAGCCAATGACTTTTTAAATGTAGGTTTTCAGCTTTTATTTAGTGTTTTTTTTATTTAGTGTTTTTTGTTTTTTGTTGATGTTGTGTTGCCAAGGCTTGAAATCAGTGCCTCATACTCTTCTTGCTTGGTTTGTTTGCTCGTGGTAGGCTCTTTACCACTTGAGCCACTTTTATCTAGTTAACTGGAGATTGAGTTCTGGTGGGCAAGTACTTTTCTGCCTTAGCTGGCTTTGAATTGCAATCCTCTGAATATCTAGGATTACAACTGTGAGCTACTGGCTCCTGGCTAAAAAAGTTATTTGCAAATTTACTTCTAATAATTAACAGTACTAGATTTAAAATGGTCAGATTATTATAAAAATGTATTAACTCTGGCTTTTGTGGACTCCTTTGCTCTGATTATACCTATACCTTTTACAATGCAATTTTTACTTTTTATAAAGTGAGGACTGGGGCTGTAGTTTAGTGGTAGAGTATATGCTTAGCATGCTTGAGGCCCTGGTTCAATCCTAAGTACTCTTAAGTAGAGTAATAAAACCAGAAAGGTTTAATTTTATGGTTTTTTTTGGTCCGGTCGTAGGGCCTGAACTCTGGGCCTGGGCATTGTCCCTCAGCTCAAGGCTAGCATTCTACTACTTGAGCCACAGCGCCACTTCCTGCTTTTTTCTTTTTGCTTATGTGGTACTGAGGAATCGAACCCAGGGCCTCAGGCATGCAAGGCAAGCACTCTACTACTGAGCCATCTTCCCAACCCCTAATTTTATGTTTAATAAACTTGTGTCTTTATTTCGAATCACTTAGTTTTGCTCTGTCAATTGGTGTCTGCTTTGTTGTTTTTTTTTGTGTGTGTGGTTTTGTGGGTTTTTTTCCCCCCTGCAGTTAATGTCTCTGGGAGTTTGAGTATATTGGTTAATATATAATATCTTAGAAAAAGAACTGATCATTTCTGAGTGTTTAAATTTTACTAAAGCATGCTTCAATTTTAAATATTTTATCACATTTTACATGAAATAGAAAAAAATTTTAAATTTGTTTTTCTTTCAAAGCATTGTTTAATTCCAGTTTTGTTTTGTTGTAGGAAAGGGGACTACCACAGGTATCTGGCTGAATTTGCCACAGGAAATGACAGGAAGGAGGCTGCGGAAAACAGCCTAGTGGCTTATAAAGCTGCTAGTGATATTGCAATGACAGAACTTCCACCAACGCATCCCATCCGTTTAGGTCTTGCTCTCAACTTTTCTGTATTCTACTATGAAATTCTTAATTCTCCTGACCGGGCCTGCAGGTATGCTATGGATGAAAGCAAAAGCGCTGCACACACACACACACACATACACACCCACACACCCACCGCTCCTTTCTTTTTGATAGTTTCACTCTGTAGCTTAGGCTGGGCTTGAACCTCCTGATCCTTCTGCTGAGATAACAAATGTCTACAACAATACTTGATAGACAAAAATCACTCAGTGTGAAATAGAAATAGTTCCAGGAGTGCCAGTTTCATGCCTATAATCCTAGCTACCTAGGAAGCTGAGATCTGAGGATTGCTGTTCAAAGCTAGCTCTGCAGGAAAATCTGGTGAGGCCCTTAACCTCTAGTTAACCACCAGAAAACCGGTTCAGTTCCTCAGTACCACATAATAAAGTCAGAAGTGGCGCTGTGGCTCAATTAGCCTTGAGCTGAAGAGCTGAGGGACAATGTCCAGGCCAGAGTTCAAGTCCCACGACCTACCAAAAAAAATTGTTCTAGAGGAACAGATTGCCACTTATTTTTCTATCTTTGACTGATGGGCTCATAGGTTTTTTTTTTTTTTTAAACCTCAGCAGAACTACTTTGGATAATACAATGATAGGCCTCTCTCTCTCTCTCTCTCTCTCTCTCTGCCAGTCCTGGGGCTTGGACTCAGGGCCTGGGAACTGTCCCTGAGCTTTGTTTAGCTTAAAGCTCTACCACTTGAGCCACAGCACCACTTCTGGCTTTTTCTATTTATGTTGTACTGAGGAATTGAACCCAGGGCTTCTAGTATGCTAGGCAAGTACTCTACCACAAAGTACAGTGACAAAACCTAGATCAACATATATCCCATTAACTTAAGTCTTGCTCTCAACTTTTCTATATACTACTGTGACTTCCAGGTAAAGCCTAGAGTTTTCCCTTCCTCTACTTGCCATGTAGCTGGAACCATAGGTGTACTTTATCATTTCCCTCACTCTTACCCCCTCTTGTTTTTGAGCTGAAGGCTTAGTGTCTTTTACTGGCCTGGTCTGGAACTACATCCTCTTTTCTCTGCCTCCAGTAGGTGAGATTACACACCTGAGTCACCTCATCTAGGTCTTTATTTTATTTATTTATTTTTGTTGGTCATGGGCTTGAACTCTGGGCCTGAGCGCTGTCCCTCAGCTCTTCAGCTCAAGGCTGGTGCTCTACCACTTGAGCCACAGTGCCTCTTCTGGTTTTCTGGTGGTTTGTTGAGGTAAGAGTCTCGTGGCCAGCCGGGGCTGGCTTTGAACCCTGATCCTCAGATCTCAGCCTCCTGAGTAGGAGTAGTTAGGATCACAGGCGTGAGCCCCCGCCGCCCAGCTTAGGTCATAATTTTTGTTATCACTGATGAAGATAATGTTTAAAGATACAATCTCCTTGTTAACCTACATTGGCCTGAAACTAGCATTCCTTTTGGGATTACAGGCATACTTTCTTTTTTTGGGGGGGGGGTCCGGTTGTGGGGCTGAACTCTGGGCCTGGCGCTGTCCCTCAGCTCTTCAGTTCAAGGCTAGCACTCTACCACTTGAGCCATAGCACCACTTCCGGCTTTTTTTCCCCTGCTTATGTGGTGCTGAGGAATCAAACCCAAGGCTTCATGCATGCAAGGCAAGATCTTTACCACTGAGCCACCTTCCCAGCCCAGGCATATTTCAATAAAATTTCATAGTGATCAGGCCCTTTTTGTGATTTAAAAGTTTTTAAATTCACCAGTGTCACACACACATGCATACATGCTTTCTTATTACTGCTACAGGGGTTTGAACTCAGGGCCTCCCGCTCTTGCTCAGCTTTTTCAACCCAATACCAGTTGAGACATACTTCCAATCTTGTTGTTTTGCTGGATAGTTGGAGATACACAGTTTTGGAGTTTATGGCATTACAGATTTGAGCCACTGGTGTCCTAACTTTTTCTCACATTTTTAGATTTCTTTTCTTTTTTTTTTGGGTCCAGTTGTGGGGCCTGAACTTGTGCCTGGGCGCTGTCCCTCAGCTCTTCAGCTCAAGGCTAGCGCTCTACCTCTTGAGCTACAGCGCCACTTCCGGCTTTTTTCTTATGTGGTGCTGAGGAATCGAACTCAGGGCCTCAGGCATGCAAGGCAAGCGCTCTACCACTGAGCCAACTTCCCAGCCCTTTTTCTCACATTTTTATTTCAGTTTATTCCAATATTTTTTTCTTACTATAGGTACAAATTTAACATGAATACATTTTTTTTGTTCATAGTAATGCTGGGGATAAGGACTTACCTAGTTTAGGTAAGCACTTGTTATCTCCAGCCTGGGAATGTTTTTTACCTTTTGGGGAAGAGGATTTGCCAAACCAGTTTGAAATCAGGACCTGATTTTTGCTGATTAGAGATGATGTCTCCTGGCTTTTCTTTTTTTTTTTTTTTTTTTTAGTTTTTTTTAATTGTGAAAATACTGTACAGAGGGGTTACAATTACATGGGCAAGATAATGAGTACCTTTCTTATCAAGCATTGTAGCTTCCTCCTTTGTTTTCCCATCCAATCCTCCCTCCTTCCCCCGCCCCCTCCTGGGCTTTTCTAATCAATGCCAGCCTTGAACCTCAGTCCTCCAGGGCTCAGCTTCCTGAGTTAGATACATGCATGATCTTCTAGCAAGCCAGCCCAGACAGGAAAGTCCATGCAACTCTATCTCCAAAGCTGTTAAGTGGAGCTTTTTTGAGGGGGTTAATTGGAGATCAAATTTGTTCAAGTGGTAGAGTGCTACTCTTTAAGTACAAAAGCTCAGGGGCAGTGTTCAAGCCTCAGTACTGAGACACAAAAAAACCCCAACAAAAACTGGCAAGCAGAACAACACAAAATCCTAAACTTTTATTCCAGATTTATTTTCACCAACCATATCTATTTTTCTTTTTTTTCTTTTTTTTTGGGGGGGGGTCCAGTTGTGGGGCCTAAACTCTGGGCCTGGGTGCTGTCCCTCAGCTCTTCAGCTCAAGGCTAGCGCTCTACCACTTGAGCTACAGCACCACTTCTGGCTTTTTTCTTATGTGGTGCTGAGGAATCGAACCCAGGGACTCATGCATGCAAGGCAAGCGCTCTACTACGGAGCCAACTTCCCAGCCCTGAAGAAGGAAGTCTTAAAGAAATAGCTGTATGTACTTAGTGAATAAGGGGGATGGACATGGAGATGTGTTGATGACAAATTGATGAGCTTTTTCAGGAAGAGGGATTTGGAATAATGAGACGTAAGGATACTTGGTATGTACAAGCTTGCTAGGCAGGCCCCCTACCTATCACCCTCGAACCATATGCCTGCCCATCTCTCGTTGGTTATGTAGAGGGTCTTGGTTGTTGCCCTTGCCAGTCTGGGATGCAATCCTATTTCTATTTCCCCACATAACTAGGATTGACAGGCAAACCAGTGGTTGAGATGGAGTCTCACAAAATTTTTTGCCTTTAACTGGCCAAGGGACCTCAATCTCCCAATATCTACCTCCCAAGGATACTTAGATCTTTATAATTATAGATTTAACTGTATAATCTAACATTGTCTTTGTTAGTGAATAGAAAATGGAGGGCAAAATGACTGTTTAGGCATGCTATAGCATTTTAGGTGTATTATAAACTAATAAGAGAGATGAATGCCATTACTGGTTGTATATGCATAGTTTAGGGAATACAAGTTCTGAATTTTGATTGTTTTTCACACCCTGCCTGGGTTTAAGTCCTTATTTTACTGTATCCTCTATAGTACTGAGATTTGAACTCAGGGCTTTGCGCTTGCTAAGCAATCACTCTACTTTTTGAGCCATGTCCCTGACCTTGTTTATCAAATAGGGTCTTATATTTCTACCAGGACCAGCATGGACTGTAATTCCTCCATTATTACCACCCATACCCCTGTAGCCAGGTAGACAGGTGAACATCATGCCGAGTTTTATTGTTGGAGCGAGGATCTCACTTAGGTTGGCCTCAACTCTTCTTCTTCTTCACCTCCCCATACCTGATTATAGGTGTTGAGACATTGTGCCTCTCCCCTTTTTGTGGTGCTGAGAATTGAGCCCAGGGTCTTGAATGCTAGGAAAGTGCCCTACCACCAAGCCACATCCTTAGCCCTACTCTTCTGGATTTTTTTTTTT